TCTGAGTATGTGTGAGTGTTGTTATGTTCGCTATACAGAACTCACAAAATGACTCAGCCAGACTGTTTCGTCGGACTTCCACCGACTCATCAGGACAGTCCGCCCAAGACGAACTGTACTGATGGCCAAGGACTCACCACGTTCGTGTGTGTGTGTGTGTGTGTGTGTGTGTGTGTGTGTGCGTGCGTGTGTGCGTGCATGTGTGTGTTGGTGTGCGTGCGTGCTTGTGTGTGTGTGTGTGCGTGCGCGTGTGTTGGTGTGCGTGTGAGCGTGCGCGTGTGTCCAACGTAGAGCGAAGTCGTAGTCGAGCATAGCAGCGTAGAAGTCAGTCAGAGTCGAGCGTTGTAGCCTAGGGTATGAAAAGTCGAAAGTCGATTGGAGGGCAGGTGTGGTGTGGGGCCATGCGGTCTTTTCCACACCGCCTCCCAAAATTGGAAAAAGTTTTGTTACGTGTGGCCGCTTGGCACTGGCCCGGCAACGTCCGACAGTACCAGTGCTAGCGCGGGGGCCCAGTACCTTGTGTAGTACCGGCTCCGGTGCGTGGGCCCGGTACCAAGCATGGTGTCAGCACTGGCAGGCGGGACCGGTACTGGCCCTGGCGACGCTTCAACTTCTAAGAAAAAACGATCAGCAGACGATCGGGACCGTTGTGCAGCCAAAAATCGGAGGGCCCCGATCGTCCGCTTGTCACAGGCAGGAACTTAGCGATAGTTATATATGTAGTGAAATTTGTTTTCCAAGTTATAGCAAGCAGACAGCACATCTAGGTTCGATGTCGTCTTGGAATATTTACAAAATTTTTAATTTCAGCACTTCTGATTTTAGGAATTATAGTAATTCTGTATTTGATAGTAGTCATTATTCACCAGTTACTGGTCTCCTTGACATTGCATTAAAAAAAAAAAAAAGAACGAAAAAAAAGAACAACTTATATTTAGTTAATCCTCTGGGGCGAGGTTCCATTAGCAGTCGGATAGGAGTGTGGCCGATCCAGTGTGACACTGAGTGGCAGCGGCCAGACAAGTTCATTACGAATTTCTGAGCTGATAAAACAGGAAAAAGGCCAAAAAAAAAGAAGAAACAGAGACCTCCCACCGGAAATCACAGCAGCGTGCTTCCCAGCCATCAGATCACAAATGATCTGATGGTGGTGGTCGCAAAAACAGTGAACAAAGTAACCGCCACATTTTCTGGAATAAACTCGACTTCTGACAGCAGTGATCCTGACACCCTCCATATACTCCGTGATTGAAGGAGGGCTCCACCCAATGAGATAATTGCACAACAGCAAGTAA